CGGTTTATTTAGCTAAATTATAAGGGTTTCACGATTTTTGGTTTGCTTAGTCAAAGAATTGAGACCAAACTAATTTTGGTTTGTTTTATATGCTCATACACTAACATGACCAAAAAATTATCATTTCACGATACTAGCTAATTAATAAACCGGTTTATTTGTTGCAGAGCGTACCGACCCACGGAGTTGCAGCCGGTTTAGGAGCAGTCGAAGGTATAGTGATGGAGATTGTTGTGACCTTTGCTTTGGTCTACACCGTTTACGCCACAGCTGCTGATCCAAAGAAAGGATCGCTCGGAACCATCGCACCAATCGCTATTGGTTTCATCGTTGGTGCCAACATCCTAGCCGCTGGTCCATTCAGTGGTGGCTCCATGAACCCAGCAAGGTCGTTCGGACCAGCTGTTGTTAGTGGAGACTTGTCACAGATATGGATCTATTGGGTTGGTCCACTTGTTGGTGGTGCACTTGCCGGGCTCATCTACGGTGATGTGTTCATCGGTTCGTACCAGGCGGTAGAAACCCGTGAGATCCGAGTTTAATAATCGGGTTTGTGATTTGCTTGATGTTTGCTTGTTGGTTGGTTTGCTGTTTTGTTTGCGTGTGTATGTTTGTTGTCTTCCAGTTTCTTCCAAGATATGTAGAGAAAACAAAATTATGTCCTTTTCATAATAAGATAAATGTATATATTCCACTTTATGATTTTTGTTTGACGCAAAGCATTGTTAAAAAAAAAAAATCATATTTTGCATGAAATTATATTTTGAACTTTTATTAGTTCACTAGATGAAAGACCCGCATATATGCGGATTTGTGATTTAATCTTTTATAAATCTATAGAAAATAAAAATATTTAACTGTGGTGAATAAAATTAGATCACCCGTTAACATAAATAAAATCAAAGTAAGAATGTTACTGCAAAAACCATTGATCGAGAAGAATATTATTTATTTATTAATTTTTATGTTTTTGTTATTTGATTTACAATTAAATTTTATCACATATTTTGAAATTATTAGTTTTTTTTATAATCCTATTTAAATTTGGTAATTTTTTTTACTTTCAATCTTATTTTACTATTCAAATATCTATTTTTGCAAATATTGATGAGTTATTTCTCATATTTATATTTGAACTATTTTTACTCTTGAATATTTTATAATTTTCAAAATCAAAAACAAAAAGACAAAAAATAAAATTAGATCACTCTATTTAAATAATAAAATAAATTAAAAACGTTATTAGAAAATTATTTATAAAGAATTTTATCAAA